GCTTCACCACAGAGACAGAGACAGAGACAGAGACAGAGACAGAGACAGAGACAGAGACAGAGACAGAGACAGAGACAGAGACAAAGACAGAGAGGAAGATAATAATACTACTATTCTCTCCTACAACCAAGTAATAGTTATAAAAACGGATGTTACTTTCCAAGTTATTTGTAACATATTACATATACCAAAGGTTAATATTAAAATTTCAGTTAATAAATACAATTTTCTAGTATTTTTTTTAGTCCAGAAATTAAATAATTTTAATGTTATTTGGTTCTTTGAAACTAACTCAATTACTTTCTTATTATCACTTAAATATATTACAATTATATATGTAAAGATATTTATAACACATAAAAATGAAACAAAAGCTAGCAAGAATAAACCTAAAAAAAAATAAATAAAAAGAATTCATTTTCCATAGAACCAGGTAATAGTTCCAATTGAAATCCAAAATATCGACAAAAAGATTGTAAATATTCAATAATTTGATTTAATACCATATTCATAATAAAAATTAATATTATATTTTTAAGAAAAGAGAAATTAACTACCCCTTCCGTTCTTCCTATGTTCTAGTTATCCTTAGGATTCCCAACACTTACTAGGCGCCACCTCCTAGGTGATTAGAACCCGAAAAGAGTACTCGTCCTTCGGTTGAATCAGGGGGGGGAAAAAGATGCGAACTTAATAAAAACAGAATCCCTCTGAACTTCTGTTATACTTATACTTATACTTTAAAGAAAAAAAAGGGGTTAGTTCTGATTTTCCAAATAACAAAATAACAAAGGAAAATTAATGATTAGTTGACCCTATAGAAGAAGATTCTTACCTTCCTCTCTCCCCTAAGATCCTCCTTAATTAGAAGAGTTAGAAGAGTTAGAAGACCCTCTATTAGTGTTAGAGGAATTAGAGTTAGAAGACCCACTATTTGTGTTAGATGAATTAGAGTTAAAAGACCCACTATTAGTGTTATTATTAGGATTAGGATTATTTGTAGGAATATTATTTCTTATAGCTTTTATACCTTCATTACCACCATAATATGCAACAATTGCACCCAAAGCTTGCAATCCAGTCTTAATTATATCAATTTTTTTAGAGAGAAAAAAAAAACAATAGGACCTAAAATAATAACCACATTGCTATAAAAAACTAAAGCCGTCATTATTCCAATATCCCCACAAATGATATTATTAATATTAAAAACCAACTCGAAACAACTTACAGAATTAGTAGCATTCCCTACTATTTCTAAAATACAATTATATTTATACATTAACATTTCTTATTAAAAAATTTTTATATACTAAAAATTAAGGAACAAAAGGGATAATTTTACCAAATTATTAAAAAAAAAACTAATAAATTAAATTTATTAATATCCAATTGATATGGGCCACACCCAGTCAATCTTAGGATAAAAACAAATAAAAAAAATTTTTTTTTTATTAATATCCAAATAAAACTATCATCTTTATAAAAAAGATAATATTCTCCTCAACTAAATATTAGCTCACAAATAAATAGAATACCGACTAATTCCTTAACTAGTAATCTCATCTATTTAATTGATGTGAGGGATTTCTCACTCTTCAATTTTGAAAGTCGACCCATCTTTATATACCCCCCCTTTTTTTATTATAAAAAGAGGTAGGGCCAAGGTTAGAAGGGTAAAAAAATTATTTATATCTTAATCTTATTTTACTAAAGTATATCCTCTTTTGGACTCGAACCAAAATTCACACTTTAGAAGAATGTAGTTCTAACCTTTTAAACTAAGAGAATTAAAAATAATACCTTTCTTCCTTTTTCTCCTTCTAGACTAGAAGAAACCCGTATACCTCCTTAATGTGACTGTAAATAGGTCCCCATATGAATGAAACCTTTTTTGTTTATCTCTTATTCTAGCACTTTTTTTGGTTTTTTTTCGAGAATCCAGGGATTAATAACCCCTTGTTATACCAAAAAACTACGTACTACTACTACGTACTACTACTACGTAGTACGTAGAAGGGGATTCTTTTAATCCAAACTGGATTATTCCTAGATTCATAATTAATCCCTTCGTAGAAGCCCCTTTTTGTTATTAGTATAATTAAAAAATTTTTAATCCAGTGATTAATAACCCTTTATTAATGCCAAGGGGGATTAGAAGAATGCCCTTTTTTATTAATAACTAATGATCCCTTGATGGGTGATTAATCACTGGATTCTCTTGGAATACCAAAAGGGGGGAATTAAAAAATGCCCCCCCCTCCTCTAACAACTACTAGAGGATGGGGGTATTCATAAAGGGCACTGGCCCCTTGATGGGGGATTCTTTTAATCCAAACTGGCTGTTCCAAAAAGGGCTAAGGGAAGACGGAGGAATTCCTCCTACCCCCTTTCTTCTTATTCTACTTATGAATTACTCCTACCCCTTTCTTCTTATTCTACTTAGAATAAAAAAACAAAACTAAACAAAACAAAAAAAGAAGAAATCATATCCTCCCTAAGAGGGGCTTCTGAATCTTTATTAAAACCTTAAATAAGTAGTAGGAGAAAAATTACTACCATTAATAATAGGCAAATTTTAAAGTTTAAGAATGAGGGACTAATTTCTACGGTTTTTAATAAAAAAAAAAAAGGGCTTCTTTCCGTCTGCAGATTCCGTAGGGGTTTTAATTAAAAAAAAAAACCTACGGGTTAATTAATCATTTTTCTGAGTTTTTAGCCCTTTTGTTTAGACCCCCCTTTTTTTCGATATTCCAAACTGGATTATCCTAAACCAATGGGGATTTTCTAATTATAAAAAAAAAAAAGGGCTAATAAGAAAAAAAGGGACTCTTTCTTATTTCAACAAGGGGTATACTAAGAACTAAGAGAATAAAAAGTCCACCTTACGGATTATTCAGAGTTAAGAGAATCACATAAAAGGATCAACAATATAAAGATAAAAAATGAATTAATTTTTTACTTTCACATAGAGTTAAGAAGGAATCGAACCCTAACTTTTAAGACTTTGCAGGTCCACTACAGAACCATCTGTAAACTTAACCCTTAAATTAAAAAAAAGGGATAAAAACTAAAACTAATTATTAACTAGGTTTAATTTATTAAATTTTATATTATTTATTTTATCTTATTTTAATGGTTAATCTAAATAAATAATATTAATAAAATTTTAGAGTTCTATACCTAGGTATACGTACACGTAGTACAAAAAAAGGTCCTTAATGTAAAGCAGAGCAAAGTTTATATTTACTTATGAAACCCTCCCCTACTTAACCTAATGATAATGATTTCTACTTAACCTAATTATACCTACTTAACCTAATGATCCCTTGGACGGTATTTTTTGTACCCCTACAAAAAAAAAAAGGAATTAATAAAAAACAAGGGGTCATTGGTCATTGGTCATTGGTCATTGGTCATTGGTCATTGGTCATTGGTCATTGGTCATTGGAAGAAGAGAAAAATCCCCTTTTGTCTTCGAACCCCCCCCTTGTTGTCTTCAAGAAAAAAAAAAAAGAAGAAGGATTAATAATCCCTAAGAATAAAAAGAGGATCCGTATCCTTACTTAGTATGTTTTTATTCCATTTATTTTCCTAGACCTTTTTTTTCCTCTTATTCTCTAAGAATCCCTCATAACCAAAGGAAAAGGGCCAGGGTAGGAGGATGGTTAAAGTAATTCATTATCTAAAGAGGTTAAATACAAATATCTATTAAAAAATAAAATTTGCATTGAAAACACATGGAGTTGAACCAGGACTTTCCCATTAAAAGTGGGACACTCAACCACTCGAGTTCTGCTTTCTTAAATGTTTAGTAATTGTAATTCTTAAATAAAAAAAATTTTTACTATAAATTAATAAAACTTTATACATATCTTTATAAATTTTTATTAAATATTTTTTATTTTAATCTTATTTGTAGAAAAATATTAATTTTAATTAGAACTAGCTTATATAGTAATATGGTATTTTATCCTTCCTACGACCCATACGACGTAAAGTTCCCCTTTCGGACTCTCCTTTCAGAATAAGGACGTTGAATAAGGACGGCCCAATCATAAGTACTCCTTCCCCCCTCCTTTTTTTATTAAAACCTTGATCCTTAAACCCCTTCCCCTTATTAACCAGAAGGGGAAGGGGACAGGGGTTTTTATTCAAAAAAAAACCGTAGGGCACATATAGGGGAGGGTCAGTAGGAGGACGAAATAAATCATACCTACGGACAGGAGAAGGACCTATGGATTCCTTCCTGTTTAAACAGGAAAAGGACCTAAATGAATTACCTCCCTACTGTTCATTAATTAGCTGAGTTGACCAGACTCGAACTAGTATTAAGCCATTACCAAAAAATGGTGTTTTGCCAATTAAACTACAACTCAATAAAACTACTATACTAAAGTAATTCACCCCTTTTTTCTTAGATTAAAGTCTCCCTAGCCCTTAAGAATCATCCTTCCCCCATCAAGGGCACCCCTTTAATTAACCCCCTTTTTTAAAATTTTTGTAGAACAGTAACGGTTTTTGGACTAAAAAAGGGTTTGATTCCAAAAACCTACGGATTATTAATCCGTACTAAGTAGGGATTCTTTTAATCCCCCCCTTTTTTTTTCGTAGAACCCCTTGTTGGAATAAAAAAAATCCCTTGGCAGAATTCTTCCTAGAATAAGAATTAATCCCTTTAAAAGAAAAGAATCCCCTTTATGAATCTAGTGATTAATAACCCTGTTATTAATCCCTGGATTCTCTTGGAATACCCAGAAGGGGGAATTAAAGAAACAATTTTTAGAAAAGAAGAGGTAAATAAGTACGGATTAATAATCCGAAGGGGGGGGGGGGAGAAGAAGGGTACAAAAGGGCTAAAAATACGAGTAATCAGATTCGAACTGATGATCTCTACTTGGAAGGTAGATGCTATACCACTTAACTATACTCGTTTAAGTTTATATTTATATACCACTCTTTTATTAAGTAATATTTATTAAAACAATATGCATAAAAATTCAATTTTAGTTACTTTTATAAAATAATTTTAGTTTCTTAAACCTTTTTCATATTTAAAATCTCTTCTAATTACCCTTCGGATCCCTGGTCCTTATTAATAGAGGACCTCTTGTCCTCCAAGGATACGGTTCCTTTTTTTTTAAGTAAAGGTCCGTATGGGGAGGACCCGGGATCCTTATTAATTAATCTTTTTTTCTTTGAATTAATCCCTTCGTAGAAGCCCCTGGCCCTGTATTAATCCCCCCAACAATATGAGGGGGGATTAAAAACTCCCCCTTCATAAAAATTGAAGGGGCAAGTGCCCCTGGCCCTGGCCATGGGGGCATTCTTCCAGTCCCCCTTGTTGTTAGACCAAAAAACTTAGAAGAAAAAATTCAGGGTTATTAATCACTGGATTTTTTAAAGAGGAGGGATTAATAAAAAAGGAGGGATTAATAAAGAAAAAAATGCATTAAAAAGCCTCCAACCCATCCCCTTGTTGTTAGACCAAAAAACTTAGAATAAAAAAAAACTACGTACTACGTATTATTAATCCCTTTATATACCAAAAGGATGGGGGAATAATTAAAATATAAACAAAAAAAGGGCCAAGGGCCCCTTGGTATTTAATATTAAATATTAAAAAAGACAAAGGGTTAAATTAGTAACTGTACTTACTGTTAAAGAATTTAATTGTGTATCTGTAGCAATCGTAATAAGAACAAAAGAAATTAAAGCTCAAGCTCCCAATGCAAATAAATTAATTCATAACCATAGCCTCTAAATAAGTTTAGGGGATTGGGTTATTCTTTTTTTTATAGGTAGCAATTTAAATGCATGTAAGGGGATAGGGTTGGTTAAAGTCCATTCTAGAGTATTAGCAGTTTTAGCATCGTTATTTAATTGTACTTGATTAGTAAAATAAGATGGAACATACCAAGGGTTATTAGAGTTAGGAGTTAGAGAAAGAGTTGAAAATTTTGTATCAATAAATATTATATCAGAATATAAAAAAGGGCATAAACAGGGGAAAGTATCATTAAAGTATAACTACAATATAATAAAAAAGTGAGAATAGGCAGTTAAGTTTAAGTTAAAAGAGACTTAAAATTTCTAAAAAAACACTAATGATTAAAATAGAAAAATAGTAAAATTTTAACTTTTTTTCGACCTTCTCCCTATTTTTTAGGAAGGATTTCAGTCTATCAAATTTATTATTCTCTAAAGGCTTTAACCTTTCAATAATGTTTTTAGTAAAAATGATTAATAATAGATTCATAATAGAAGTCAACATTAAAGTTTTAAAAATCAATCCTATCACTAGACCAAGAGTCTCTGTAGACAATGAGTCTAGAACAGTAAATAATAAGAAAGGTAAAGGACATATAAATAATAACACGATTGTATCAAACCCGCTGTCGATTATAAGTTCTAGGCGGCTCTCTAGCTCAATGACTTTTTCCAAGTAGGCAAACTGCATAGAACTATGTTTGTCACTGACTAAAGGGATATCTCAGCTATTAACGGTAGGATCTAAATTCTGGATTAAATTCAATTCTTTTTGAGTAAGCTCTTCACCTTTTTCCTTTTTAATTATGGCTCGCAAAATATCCCTTTCAATATTAGAGGCAGTCATCGCATTACTCTGAGCTTTCAAAGTCTGTTGCCAAGAATTAACATAATCGTTTCCAAAATATAAGGCCGTTTTTTTATCTTGGTTCGACAATGCTGAATCTGAGTTTAAATCTTCTATAGCCGTTTTATACCTGTTATAAGCGTACTTTTTTATCAAATTTTCTTCATCTAAGTCTATTTTTTTTGTGATTTGTCTTTTTTCATAGATTTGCCGGTAGTAAGCCCCCACAGAGAGAGCCGAAGCCGAATGAAGTTTGAATAATTTAATATATAACAAAGGGTTTCCACTTAACTTTTCTCCCTGATCCATATAATTAAAAGGTTGACTCTTGATACTCTTTATATCTTTTAAAATCAAGAATATTAACAACACACCTAAAATAATTATGAACATAACCTTTAATTTCATAGCAAAGCTAAATCCATTCATAAAGCTAAATTTAGAAATTACATTTTCGTAATTAAAATATACAATACTAAGATACTCCGAACAATGGTTTAAAACACTATAAGCGCCTACGGAGAAATTAAAAATATTATTTAACTTATAAAATGTTGAGGTTAAGAAAATTAATGGCACCACAACTACCAGTATCTTTAAGTGTTTAATAAATAAGGGGATAGATTTATTTCCACTATGCATTCCCTTTTCTATTGCTTTATTTATACCCTTTTCTTTTTCTTTTTCTTTTTCAGAGCCCTGTATAGGTAACATTTTAAATGCATGTAATGGAATAGGGCTAGCTAAAGTCCATTCTAGAGTATAAGCAGTTTGAGTTTCGTTATTTAATTGTACTTGATTAGTAAAATAAGATGGAACATACCAAGGGTTATTAGAGCAAGATCCTTGGTTAGCAAAAATATCATAAATTATATAAGCAAATAAAATAGTAGCTACCACAGAAATTAATGAGCCTAAACTAGATAAAGCATTCCATCCTGCAAAAGCATCTGGATAATCTGGGATTCTTCTTGGCATCAATTGTGTTACTCCTTAATATGCATCTTTATAAAACGCATTTAAGACTCCTTTCCTTACGGGTAAATATTTTTTTTTTTGTTTTTTGTTTTTTTTTTTTTTCTTTTTCGTCAGGCCCCTGTCTAGTTAGTATAAGGGGGGTAAAAATATGAATAAAAAATTTAAGTTAAGTCCTATATATTTACTACTTATTTATTGTACTTAAAATAAGTAAAAGGTTCAGACTATGTCATTCATCCCTACTTATGAATCCCTCCTTTGCTGCTTGCTTCTAAGAGAAAGGAGAGCCTTAAATGATTTAGGGATGATTGGGCGCTAACTTTATAATTGTTAATAATAAAGTGCAAGATTATTGTTAATACTACTCACTTGCTAGTCGTTGAACGTTTTTATTCCTACACCACAAGTATTAAAAGGGTACCAAAAATTATACATGTGGAGGCATTGAAATAAACTTCGCTGCAAATTGTCCTAGAATAGTTTAATTCTTCCTACTTGTCCCCCTTACCTCCCCCTTTTTTTTATAAAACACCGTAGGAATTGGCCTTTTTTTTTAGCCCTTTTTTTTCTACGAATACGAAGAATCCCTTTTATACCCCTTGGCCCTTTTTTAGTCCCTTTTGGAATTAAGAATCCCCTCTTCTATAATGCCAAGGGGAAGAGAAAATCCCCTCTTATAGAATGCCAAGGGATTCATAATTCCAAAAAGGGATTCATAAAGAATAAGAAAGAAAGGGATAAAGTAGAAGGGGTTTTGAAAGCGTAGGTTTTTCCCCTATTCCTCTTCTTCCCTAAGTGGAATTGGTACTTTTTTTTCTTAATAGGGGTAGGAAAAGGGGAAAGGGGAGCTGTAGGGTTTTAAGTAAAAACCAAGGGAAATAAAAAGGGGTAGGACACCTCACAATTCTAGGATGTCCTTGCAATTCACCCAATTTACTAATGGTATTTTTAAATAATACCATAGAGGCATGAAAATTTAATCATCTAATAGTACACGTGAAAATATTATTCCTTTAAAAGGAAGTTTGCTATTTAAATATTTAGTTAAAGTATCTTTACCCATTTTAAAGTGTTTAACACATTCAACTGTAGAAAATACACCTATAAATTTTAGAGTCTCAGCTTCATAGACATAAACCAACTTTTGTAATTTAGCTATAGTCTCAGGAGATTTTTTAACTCCAAACATAGGATTATTTATTCCTTTTCTATCTCTAACTCTTGTTTGCATAGCAATAAACTCAGGGGAAAAAGTTCTACCAAACATAGGATTCAAGTTACCCTTTCTATTTAATTTAAAAATAGAATTATGTTTAAAACCTAAGGTTGTACCTGCTGTAGGAGAAAGGTTTAATTTTCTATCTAAATATTTTGTAAATAAAATATCTAAGTAATATTGTTCTCTCAATATAAGCTTTTCTGATATTTGTTTACCTAAATCTTCTAAGATAGCTAAACAAAAATTATTATGTCCATATTTTCTTAAGCTGTTATATATGGGTAAATTCCTCAAAAGTACACTCGGCGTAAAGTAACTTAGCAGTCTAGTAGCACCAGTAGAGGCACTACCTATATATATTTGACCCGTGATTAAATTAGTCCATTGGTATATAACAACTCTTTTTCTATTGTCAGTTCCAATCAGATTTCTATTTAATTTAGGATAATAAACACGAACAGGTTCTTTTAAGAAAATTGGTTTTACAAAAGGACCAAAAGGAAAAATAGAAACTTTTGCCCCTACCCCCTTCCTTAGGGCTAGACTAGGATTTAAACCAAAAGGGGCCCTAGCTGCCCTTGCAGCCCTTGCAGCCCTTGCAGCCCTAGCAGCCCTTGCAGCCCTTGCAGCCCTTGCAGGGAGGAATAGGGCAGCAGGCCCCATTGATGAGGATAAGATAATATTTTCATTTATACAAGATGTAACTTCAAACATACCAGCCAATCCTAAAAAGTGTTGAGGGAAAAAAGTTAAATTAACTCCAATAAATAAAGTCCAGAAATGGATTTTACCTAAGAAATCCGAATAAGTTCTACCTACTATTTTAGGAGTCCAGTAATAAAATCCTGCAAAAAGAGCAAATACTGCTCCCATAGAAAGTACGTAGTGAAAGTGAGCAACTACGTAATAGGTATCATGGAAAGCGACATCTAAAGATGCATTAGAAAGAACTACTCCTGTTAACCCACCAATTGTAAATAAAGCTAGGAATCCTATTACGAATAATAATGGTGTATTATATCTTAAACTTCCACCATATAGAGTAGCTCAGGTTCAGCCTTTTACCATCTCAGGTACAGCTAGGCTTATCTTCTCAGTATAAAATTGAATTAAATAAAAAC